TCCAGAGGCCTTGCCTGCTCTCAAACCTGAAACACGTGCAGCTCTGCTTGTAATAGAAGCTGTGCGTCAGGGGATGCTAGACACCTTAACAGCTAATTAGCAAATAAACCCAACTATTATCCACTGTAAAAACTCCCCCTTGGTATGTCTGGTTTGGCTTTTATTAATTCATAAAATAGTAGGGTCGGAAGAGACCTCAGGAGGTCGCATCCAGTCCAGCGCCCTGCGTGAGTCGGGATCCACCCTGATGAAACCATGCCACCAAGCCCTAGGACCATTTCTTGGTGTTCAGCATAGTGTGACCGGCTTTGGGAATGCAACTCTGCCGCTGCTTTGCGGTCTGTACTGCCCTTGGCCCCTGGGGTCTGTAACCGTCCAGCGGGGAGGTGAGGAAAAAGGCTGCTGGACATAGGGGGAATTCATAGCTTTGTAGATGTTGGGGACCTCTCGGGATCATCAGGTCCAGGCCCCCTGCGCTTGGGCAGGAAGACTGCTGGGGTCAGAGGACCCCAGCAAGGTGAGCATCCAGAAGTTGTTTGAACATCTCCAGAGTAGGTGATTGCACCATCTCTGGGGGGGAGTCTAGTCCAGACCCCGGTCACTCGAGTTGTAAAGTTTTTCCTTACGTCTAATCTAAAGCGATCTTCTAGCAATTTATGAGTGTTAGTCCTAGTCATCCCCTGGGGAGCCCTGAACAGATGTTTTCCCGGTCCCTGATATGCACCCCTTATATACTTATAGGCTGCCACCAAGTCCCCTCTGAGTCTTCTCTTCTCCAGGCTGAACAGACCCACGTGTCTCAGCCTTGCAGCGTACGGCCTGCTCTCCAGACCTCTAACCATACGTGTCTGATTTATTCACATGCCAGCATAAGTACCATGACTTGATGGAGTTGCAGTAGTGTAAAATGAAAGCAAGTAAAAGCGGCGTTGAGCAGAACCGAAGTCTCCCCTCTCCTCCTGCCTGGAGCCCAGAGCCAGAGGGCTGTTGCACAGGTGTGTGGTGCTGCTCGTGCACATCTCCAGTATTCATCTCTGCAACTCCAAAGTGAGGAAACAGTTGCGAGCCAGTATTTCCCTGGAGCAGATTTCCTGCTGGAAGTCGCTGCAGACCCGGCACCTGCCCTCCACATTGTCACAGAGGCTTTGCCTTTGTTCTGGCATCAACTTTGAAGCAAGAGCGACCTCTGTTACAAGCCCGTTACGGGAGAACTTTGTGGGTGCAAAAGGATGGGCACAGCCCCTTGCGTTTCCGCTTTGCAGACGCAGTGAAGTGTTGTGCTGCAGGATGTGGTGAGGCTATGACTTGCTCGTGCTAACCAGAGCTGCCCTCTCTCCGCATCTGGCTTCTGGCGTCGCTGCTAAGTGCGTGCTACTTCCTCTTTACATCTATTCGTCTGTGTGATTAATCGCATCTTGAACTTGCTTCTCTTCCTATGGCTTAAGCTAGTCAAAACACTGCCAGGTTCTTCCAGACACTTCTCTTAAACATGTTCTCCAAAGCAAAGTTTGGGGTAGTCACGTGGCTTTGTATTGTTTCATCTCAGGACATGGCCTGGTTTACTTGATCCCCAGCGAATCTCTTGCCGAATCTCATGTGCTTACATTTTTCTTGCAACCTGGTGTGTCCTAGGGACCCGTGCACATCCATGTGCAGTCCTGTAACAGGCCTCTGGCTCTGGCAGCTAAGGCTAATGCTTATGTTAAGCAACGTTTTAGGGAGGTCCCTTATGCATTCTTGGTAGGATTGATTTGCTTTACAATTATACACAATAAATATACATACCGAGTCGTTTGGTCTGCCTGCTTTTAATTGCGACTTTGGTCAAGCTGTTCGTGAATGGAAATCAGAATTCAGTTTAGTGCAGAAAAACAGCCTTCTAAAAAATGAGCAACCATGTTTAAAACTCCCTGCCACGTTAAACAAAGGCGTGTGTAACTTTTGTAGACCATAAATTGTACTGAGTATTGAAGCACGCAGTGAGCAGAAACAGTTTGGAGGGTTTCCATCTCTGCCTCTTATGCGTAGGTTTTAGTCCTGCACGGGGAGAGAAGAAGCAGGAAAGCTTGTTTGCAAACTCTAGAACCATTTCATAATTTCTGGATGAAGCAGTCCTTGAGCTGCATTAAACCAAAGTGAAAGAAGAAATACCCTCTCTGCACCTGCAGAAGAGGCTGTAGCTGTCACCGGCTGTTTCATCACTTCAGCGAGCTCTGATTCGGGGCCTAGCTTGCGACTTCCCTTCAGTTCAGTGTTTGACTTCTCTTTTTCTTCCCTCCCCCAGAACTTTGAAAGCAAACGTGTAACGCTTGACTAGCTGTCTAATTAGCATGCTACAATAAGACATTATGCAAATTTGGGCCTTTAGAGGCTGTCATAACCTGCAATCTTTCAATTGGCTATGTTTTAGAAGGAAAATTGCTTTAAATTTGTCAACGCAGACTCCATCATAAAGGACACAAACTCTGGTTGTGCAGTTCACGTGCCGAGCGGACTTGATTAATGGAGCCTGCTTTGAAGTGGGGGATCTCTGGTGTGTCACAGGACAGAAAAGGATGTGTACAAATGCTGATCCCTCCCTCCATGCGACCGGCTGTGTCCTGCCCTGCCTCTTGAGTGCCTCGCAGACGATCATATGGCCGCCAAGAGGGTGCTTGGATGTCTGAGGACATCCTGGGGCTATAAGGATGTTTCTTTTGCAGACTGACTCAAACTGACCTGTCCATGGTCTGGTCAGCAGCTTCTGCTGTGTAATACCAAAACCACACAACTCCTGTTTCACATAAGGACTCCTGCTATACAGGGCTATATATGAATACCCACGTAGAGTAGCACCTTCCTACTGGAGCAGTCTCATTGACTGTAATGGGGCTGTTCCTACCATAAGGTCCTTCCAGTGTCTCTTTGGTTATTAGAATCTGGGTTTCAAGCCCATTCGAAGACAATCATGTTGACAGATATTTGTGAAAGCTGGGTGATTTTATTTTTTCTTATCACATCCAGGAACAAAAAAAGCCGTACTAGTTTCTGAATGACTTTGTAAAACAAGAGCTATCCTGGTGTCTGAGTGAGAAGCCCATCCTCCCTGATGCCTGTTTTTGAAGGCAGTCGCAAAAACTTGTCAATTTAGGTGCAAACCTTCCCTCGCTGTCGGTGAATCCTGCAGGCCCAGCTCTGAAATGTTCATTTTTCTCCAGCCACCTCTTTGAGAACTCTGCACTTGCTCTCTATTTAAGGACTTTCCTTTTTATAAAACGATCTCTTGAAGGCATACTATAGCATCCATTTGAGATCTTCAAATTTTGGATTGGGGGGGGGCAGGGAGGTAGAGAAAGTGGCTTCTAAATCTTCCTACTCAAGAAGTGCCTCCCAAACTCTTCGGAGCAACACAGCGCTGTTGGCTCTTGCAATTCCTCTTCAGTGCGCCTTCATGATTTAAACTCTTATTTGAAAAGTGGGAAGAGTCTGGTGCGATTTGACAGAACAGCTGCAAGCTCCTTAGCATGGTGTCGCGCACCATCAGTAGTCTGTAGACCACAATTGAGGAACCATAGTACTAATGAACTCAAACAAAGTCGCTCCCAAAAAACAGCTGCTCCTCTAACACTTGTCTGTAATTCTCTTTTGTGTTGCAGATCGGAAGGTCCTTGAGGAACCAGATGAGCTCAGAGAGATCTTGGTGAAGATTAGAAGCTCTTGCAGCACTGTCACTGGACACGGTCCAGTAGCTGTGTGCCTCCAGCTGTCATCACTGCGGACTTGGAAGAGAAAGAAGAGAAGAAAAATGTCCAACGCCTTAAAACAAGTGTTCAATAAGGACAGAACCTTTCGGCCCAAGCGCAAGTTTGAGCCCGGGACTCAGCGGTTTGAGCTGCACAAGAGAGCTCAAGCCTCTCTCAATGCGGGGCTGGACTTGAAGCTAGCGGTCCAGCTGCCGTCTGGTGAGGAGCAGAATGACTGGGTAGCAGTTCATGTGGTGGACTTCTTCAACCGCATCAATCTGATCTATGGCACCATCAGTGACTATTGCACGGAGCAGTCCTGCCCCGTCATGTCTGGTGGACCCAAGTACGAGTACAGATGGCAGGATGAGCACAAGTACCGGAAACCCACCGCCCTGTCTGCACCCCAGTACATGAACCTCTTGATGGACTGGATTGAGGTGCAGATCAACAATGAGGACATCTTCCCCACCAATGTTGGTGAGTTGAGTTTGGTTGGTAGGGGGGAAAATCTGGGGCTACAAGGAGTCAAAGAGCAGTTGGGGTCAGTGGCATAGACCTTCTTCCCATCTACTTTGCCACAGGCACCTAGGCTTGCCTCTTCTACTCCAGCACAATTCAGGAGTGCAGCACAGTGTGGTGGCCTGCACTAAGAAACATGTCGGAGCAAGCATTGTGTTCCTGCCCTGAGAGTTGCTCTTGCTTCTGACTTCAGGTGAAACGAGAGGAGATGCTTTTCCCAATGGCCCTAAGCCTTTGGGATTGGTCATGGAGGGTGTTTTCAGCATTGAGCTCCAAGCAGCGATGCTCTTGCTCCCTAGAGCAGCCCATCCAAGTCTGCATCAACTACATTCATTCTGTAGCACCTGGTGCTTCTTGGTTGACTGCTTTGATTTCCTGTGACCTGGTACTAGGTTATAAATAACTGGCTGAGGCAGTTCAAGAAAGGGGGATGATGGAGGGGGCAAGAAGGGATTTATTTCAAGGTCTAATAGTTTCAGTCTCCCAGAGGTTAAAATCAAGAGCGTGAAAGCAACCTAAAAAGCCTGATTCTCACTGTTTTTCTTACTAAGGCTTTTTCTGTACCACTGTGGCCTATAAAGGAGTCTTTTTGTATGGATGTAAATATAACTGATATATCCAATAACCCCCACTCCACACTGCCAGGGCAGTAGAAATGCGGGTTGGGCACCTGAGCTTGGACCTTTGTACCCAAGGGTGAACACTTCAACACATGGCTCAGTTCCAGAGACTGCAATTCCCATTGAAGTCAGGATGTGGATGCTTGCCTCTGAACATGAGCTTTAAGATACTGGCCTAATGCTTCATGCCTGTGTGCATCTGAAACAAGCTTATGTTGTGCCAGTGAGAGCTGCTCTTCCAGCTTCTGTAGCAGCTGAAATTTTGGACTGTTTTGAAACTCTCAGCAGTGTTTTAGCTCTGGTCCAGGTCTGACTAGACAAGTGCAATTGAATGCAAAAGGCCGGTGTCTTGGATTAGTTCAATTTAGTTCTCACTTGCCTTGGCAGGGGAAGGGGCAGCACACCAGAGGCTACTTGCTCAGTGTCCGGTAAAAAGTTGTCCTCCTTGCACTCTGCAGTGCTCCTGGACGATCTCTTGGGCAGAGCTCTAAGGCAGCTCACATCTTGGACAGTCAGCACAATGCAAGGCTGTGTGTCGGGGGAGAGAGCAGCTGTGAAATACAGGAGAAAAACAAATCTTTCCCAACCTTCTGCTGTTTAAATGCCTGGTGTCGTAACAAAGCTCTGGGAGCGTTCCCTTTTTGTCTTGGGGTCTGTCAGGGAGGACTTCTTCTGAGCTGGACTGCTGACATCCCCAACCAGCAGTCTGTTTTCATCCAGGGTTGGGGGAAAGCTTATAGCATCAGAGATGTCAAACTCTTGGATGTTGTACTGCACCGCTGTGGTCTGGCTGGAAATGCGCCACTTCATGCAGAGCACTTGTGAACAAAGAGCCACTTAGCTACAGAAAGAGATGTGTACTATTTTTAATCCCCATCTGTGTTTTCCCCATTATCTGTGTCCAGTTTTAAAATGGAGTCTGGAGTGTAAATACTAGAAAGACCAAATGGCCAAGCATTGTTCTGTTTTTGCACGCGCTACAGTTGTCTTTCGTACTAACGGCCATAATTGCAAAGTGCCAAGAAGTGACAGAACAGAACATAATTTTTTTTTTTTTTTAATTGTGCAGGAAATGAGGTTTTTGAAACACTGACCCAGTGCTAAGAGGGAGGGAGGTCAGTCAGTCAGTAAATTATTCTGGATGAAACCTTTCTGTCAGTTCAAAATGGCCTGGGCTTCTCTTGGTGTTTTAGGAAGAGGGCTTTGTACCGTATCTCTGGTGCTGCTTCGGCAGCCTCTAACGCCCACGTGTCTCCTCGCAGGTACTCCTTTCCCCAAGAACTTCCTTCAGGTGGTAAAGAAGATTCTCTCCAGGCTCTTCCGGGTTTTTGTCCACGTTTACATCCACCACTTTGACAGGATCACCCAGATGGGGTCAGAAGCCCACGTGAACACCTGCTACAAGCACTTTTACTATTTTGTGAAAGAATTCAACCTAATAGACACCAAGGAGTTGGAACCACTGGTGAGTAAATTGGCCACACATGGCTGTGAATGCAAAGATGATGGAGTCTGCCATTTGTCTCAGTGGCGCTCTAGCATGTGGACTTCCCCTCCCCTGATTGCCAGTTTGCAAGGTCCAAGCAATGCGAGAGAGCCCCGAAGAGGGCAGCTGATACTCCCACTATACCTGCTCCATTCCCTTCCCTGGTGCATCATAGGTTCCTCTTTGCCTTGGTCTCGTCCCCGGGTCACAGACCCCAGCGTACCCAGTGTGACTGAGCAGAGCCATTGCATACGTGGAGAGGGGAGTTGATGTGTTGTGTGAGCTGTGCCCAGCAGCCCCCTAATGCTTGGGGCTGCCAGCTTGTCTGTGGATGGTGTCTACTTCATTTCCTTCACCCTCCTGCTGCCTCCCTGGGCGCCACCTCCCTTAATCAGTCAGTGACTGTTACATGTATCTGCTGTTCTTCGGTCTGGATGCGCTGGCCGTAAGGAGCTATGCATCCCTTGCTTACAGACTTGATGTGAATTCCCAACAGTCTGCCCTGGTGCCTTTGCCCCTGTAGCCCAAACGCTGCTCAGGAGCCCAGGGTCTGGTCCCCAGCTGTTGCTGCCTAGCTTTGTGACTCTTGCAGAGTCAGTCTCCTCTCCCCACACTTCTATTTCTCCTTGTGTAAAATGAGGATAGTGCTTTCTACCTTCAGAAAGAGCTGGCAGGCTGACAAGTACTAATTATTAGAATGGGGTGGTGGGTGCTGATTGATGCACTGTATTGAGCAAAGGAGTTTTTTGTCGTATGACATCCGGGGTGTCCTGCCTGGTACTAGTTGGGGAATGTGGAAGCAGAGTTAAAGATGACATGGTGCATTGTTGCCTGTCATAAGCATTCCAGTTTGGATGCTTCCTGTTTTAATATAATCTTGGAAACCTCAGCCTTGACTCTTACTGAAATCTCCCTCTCTTGGGTACTGGTACAGTGACACTTGCTTCCTATTTCCCTTGACAGAAGGAAATGACTTCACGGATGTGCCACTGAGATCCAGACCTTCCTGCCCTCACCTAGTCACTTCCAGGACTACAGAAGCCCATGATTGCAACAGAGATGCTCTTCGAGGCAGTCCAGAGACATTTCGTTAAAATATATTTTTAATGAGTTTTCAATGTAAAATGGAGATTGCAGGAATATTTTTAAAGATGTTCTAGATAACTAGTTTTCTACAGTAATTTCTATAACTTTGCTACTAAATGGAAATATTCTCATTCTCAATCAACTTTGAGGCGGGAAGAAGGCTTTGTGATACAGCCACCTCACACTTCATCTCCCCTGCCAGGTTGTGGAGGTGGTACTCACTAGACTTCTTCAGTTGCTTCAAGTGCTTTTTTTTTAAGTGTTGAAAGCCTGGACTGGCTTTCAACAGAGCCAGGACATGGAGTTGGTCTCCAGATTGCTGTGGTGCCTTCCACTGAATGTGCTTTGTATACTGAAGCCCCAACTGTATGGGGATCATCTGGAGCCTGGTTCGTGTATGCTCCTGTGCACAGGTTCTGTAGGGCATTCGGGATGCTCGACTTTTAGCCTTTTCTCATCTAGAGAATCCATTGTACGTGCAGGCTTAGCATGTTGTGCTAAGGAAATAGGTGCCATGGGAGTAAGCTCCACTGTGTGCCTGAGCACTGAGACAGGTGCAAATAAATGCAGCTGCTTCTCCTGCTACATCTGTTTTTAGCTGTCTTTCTCCTTGTGGCTGTAACAACTTCAGTTCCAAGTGGCACTGTATGCATGAGGGAGGGAGCTTCAATGCTGCTGTCCATTTACATAAGCATATATGTGGCCTTTGGGAGTAAAAAGGGCAGGAAAGGCTGCTGGGACAGAAGTTGGAAGTATTCACCTACACTTAGCAGGCTGCTTTGGCATCTTTCCCGGAGCCCTGATGCTACACCTCAACATAAAATGAAGTTGGTTGAGGCCACCCAGTTTGGCCCCAAGTCACTGGAGGCTCTGTTCCCTGCTTCCCGGGAGCTGGAGTAGGTAGGTGGAGGGATCACTGTTTTTACACACCTGCACCCTTTTTGACCCATGCAGATTTACGGACTCCATTTTCTGTGAGTGATCTATACCACTCTCCCTCTTCTTCCTCTGTCACGTTTCCCGTCTCCGTATTTCCCATTCTGTCTCTTCTTGTCATCTACTGTATATCTTCCTTGACCAACTGCATCTCCAGTGCACAGTCTTGCTACTGTCTGGATGAGTAACTCTGTAGAGCTGCCTGTTGTGGAACACCTGTGAGACGAGGCTGACAAAGGAGTGACCACTGGATTTGGGGTAGGGGGAGACTGGAAGGGGATTTTCTGAGCAGTGACCAAGTTGTTACCACTAGCCACTTTCCTCTAAGGGTTTCCTGTGTTCCGAGTCTTGTACTCATGTGTGTCATTTCTCCTACTATAATTGGGATACTTTCATTTTTACAAATACCACTATCATTCCTTGAAATGGAAGCAATAAATTATGTTGAATTTGCAGATTCTGCTTGTATTGCTATGACTGTCTTCTTTTTTTTCCCCTAAGAAATCAGACTTGTACCATCTCAGCAAATGACTTGCATCTGGAAATAACAGACTACTACATAGTGAGTGGAGGGCCCATCTCCAAAAGCTTCTTAAAAGCTTAAAGCTTTCTGGTCTTAGATCTGGTCTGGTCTGGTCTCTTATTACGGTTGTATAGGAGCACCTTATGTTCTTTAATGTAGTTATCTCAAAAGGGTATTACAAGGATGAGGCATCTTCCTGCTTCATAGGTGGGTAACAGAGAAACCAGTGACCTTACCAATGTCACGCAGGACCTGAACATGGGTCTCTGAAGTCAAAGGCTCGTGGCGCAACAATTGGACCATAATTCTTAATGTCTTAATAGTCCTGAAAAGCACAGTTGCCCGCTTTCATATCTCTGGCTGCCTCATAAGCCTGCCAGGAGCGTGAGGGCTGCACCTCACCAACCCAGATCTGTTGTGTAGTTCCAGCCAAAAACAAGTAGCCAGCCATCAAAAACGTGCTCAGGCTCCTGCAAGCCAGGATTGCAGGATCTTGGAGGAAGGGACACAAATGAGTTTCAGGCCAGCGGAAGAGGTCTTGGGGTAGATCCTAATCCATGTCCTGATATGGGATTCACTTTGGAAACAGCTGAGAGCTCTGCCCAGAGCAATGGCTGGAGACGGCACAATTTGGCTTTTATGGCCACGTGACTGTCAAAGGAGAGAGAGCAGTTCTGGGTCCTTGGACTATCTCTGTCATCTACGACAGCTTGCTGCTGACTTCACCGATGGAGAAGGCCCACAGCTTCAGGTCTTGGCTCGGCTCCCAGGCTGCAGAGCACTGATCCAGCCAAGGCCCTGACCCTCTTCCCTCCCTGTGAAGTTTCTGGACACAGAGGACGCTTCTTAGATATCAGGGTAGTGAGAGGGGTTTTGGAGAAACACCTGCTACATGCACGAAGAAGAAAGGTCTTCCATTGTTGCAGGGACTTGACCAGCTGCTAAGATAGCCTGCTGCGTGTGCTTGTTGGAAAGAGGCTGCCCTGCTCACGCTCACATATGAAGACTGGTCTGTAGGCCTTTAAAACTGAATTGGCTGCTTGCTGGGGTGTTGCAGCAGAGAAAAGCAGAAATCCATACACAGTGCTATGGGTAGGAGAGAGGAGGATGTGCAATGTTGTCAGGCAGCTGGGGAATGGTGTTCTGCCAGCTACTGCCTATATATTGTCACTAGAGGGAGCTGCCTTCTCATAATGCATCAGCAATGAACTTTGCACTCTCGCTGGTGTTGGATGGACACCGAACTGAACTGCCTGCAAGTCCCATTGCAGAGAAGCTGGTGTTGACCCTGTAAAACTCATCAGTGACTGGGGCTGTCTAAAACTCCTCCATGCAAAGAGCTTCGCCTGAGAAGGCATCCTTCTATGTGGAGCATGTGGTGCTGATCACTCTCAGAGAAAAAATACAGCCCCAAATGAGCCATGTGGCCTGAGGCAAGTCCTTGGTGTGGAAGCCCGATCCTGCGTCACAGCTATAAGCACCATCAAATCTTAGTGCGACTCTGCTGTGCTTCTCAGCTAGCCCCCGCCTCTGGCCTGTTCTTGCATTTCAAACTAACTTCCCCTTAGTTAAAAGTCAAATCTCAGAGGCTGCAAGAACTGCAGTGATTAAATGCACCGTGCCACCAGCTAGGGTCCTTTAATCAAGCTAGGTAAGGCCTTTGCAGCACTTGGCAGGGGTGTGGCTTTATTGTGCTGCCTTCAACTCCTCATATGGCTCATTTCATCCCCCCTGCTCTTCCAAAACTTCCCTGTAGTTGGGCGAGGAGTGGGCTAGCTGTAACCGTACCATGGGCAGCAAAGGACTGTGGGGGAACAAACCAGTGACTTCAAGGTAAGACCTGCTGTTTTTGCTGTATGTTCGTACAGTGCCTAGCACGTGCCCATGCGGTGCCTGCCCGGCGCTGCAGTTCAGATTAGCACCGTGCCTGCACGCAGCAGCTGAGGAGGCTGCCAAGGCAAGCGAGGACTGCCCGCTTGCAGCCTCCAGACCTCCTTGCTCCTCTGCTGCCTGTTAGATGCACCCTCAGTTGCCCTCTCGCACGTGCACCTTTGGTCTCTGCTCCCCTGACAAGGCATTTCAGTTGCTCTCCCTCCTTCACTTGGCGCGGGGATTTATTTTCTTGCAAATTCCCCCTCCCCTGCCAGGAATCAGCAGACAGCAGACTGAAGGATTGTAGCAAGCCTTAGCTAAGGCTGCCCAAGGAACATGGAGGTGGATTACAAGTGATCTGGAGGTATTGTTCGCTTGTTCCCTATTGTATTAAATAAAGTCAGGTCTCTGGGGCGGCCACTAGTAAGAGATGCAGCCAGCGTACCTTCTCCGCAAGAGTGGGCGTCCATGGATGCTGAATGCTCCTCATTCCTCTTTGCTGTGAGGCCCCTAACCTTACATTTAGCAAACACCACAGGCCTCTCAGCAGTCAGCAAAACAGCTTGGGAAGAGGCCAGGCTTGGCAAATGGAGCATATACAGTAAATGCCACGCTACTTGCCCTACTAGCTCCTACCTGATAAGAGACAGGTGGCAGCTCTCCAGCTATGTGCAGCAAGTCGGGACCATTCACGTGTGGCCAGAGAGCCTTGCCAAGCACGGCCCTTGTCGGTGCTCTGATCGAGTCATGAGGGGAGCAGAGTCCCATGATAAAAGGGAAATATTTATCTTATTGTGTCACCACTGGCTCACGGCAATGCTGTCCCCTGGGGCTACTGCCGTTTGTCACGTGTCCGCCGTACACAAACACTCCCATTTGAGCACAAGCCATCGTCTAGCCGCGCGCTGCGCTGGGCTGAGAGAGGGGTGGCAACCCACGCTGCACTAGCCGCTGTGTTAGCCAACAGCATTGGCCATACGGGCCGCTCCCTCCTCTCCGGTCTTATCCGAGCACAGAGCCTGCTTCTCCTTGGCTATGCTGAGGGCTAGCAGGCCCGTTGAGCACGTGCCCGTTGACTTGGGTTAAACTGGGACCCTAAAAGCTGCTGTGGGAATGACCCCCTTGTCTCTGCAGTCCCTCCAGATCCAACTGGCTACGTGGCAGCTTGTCATCCCTTAATGAAGGGAAAGCTAGTGGGGACTGAGTCTGAGCAGCTGCAAGAGCTGCTGTTGCCGGACCTGCGAACGGCATAGCTCAGCCTGGCAGACCAAGGGGCTGGAGCCGTACAAGGGTGCAGCCGAACGAAATCTTCAATGTGTCAATGGTGCTGCTGTTGGTGAAGGCTGTTTCCCAGCAAGGGGGAAAAGCCAAAGGAGACGAACCTAAACCTGGCTTCACGTACGACTCTGACGCTAATGAAGCAATGCTGCGTGCGCGGCAGTCGGGATGCTGCTTGGTTTCACTGACCCCATAAATCTTCTCTGGCTCCAGCTGCCCCCGTTCCTCCCCCGGTGCTGGTATCGCTCAGATGGACTGGACGTGAAGACACAATTCTGACCGCTCTTCCCCGCCCCAGCGAGACTGGCCGTTCCTGGGGTATATCCAGTCCAGTGCCCTTGGCAGTGATAGCGAGCAGGTTGCCAGCACCGCAATGGTTAAATGTGGACCTTGCCTCTCTCTGATTTGTAAATCACCTCCTTCTGTGTCGCAGCACTCCCATCCCTGTGATTACCAGCTGTGTTTGTTGCTGAAAGGTTTTGCCCACAGATATTATACCTAGTGAGGTCAGGCCTCTAGCTTGTGGCAGTGTGTCATTAAGAGGGTGACCCTGCCTGTCCTGCTTGCTCTGGATGATCATTATCATTATGACACGGCTTAATCTGCCAGAGGTGGAAGGAGCCTGAAGTGGGTTGGCTGCGTTGGCCGTGCCCCGGGAGCGGGTTTCTGTAGAGAGCCGCAGTCGAAGTGCGCGGTGCTGGGCTGAAATCGCCTCTTACCCCCCTGCGCTCTGTTTGCACACGCGTGGAGAAGAGACTCTGCTCAGCACAACCTTTTATAGTAGCAGGGTGTTGGCTGGTGTGGTTCCCCTGCCTTACCTGTGGCTAGGGCTGTCCCTAGGGTACGGCAAATTGGGGCGACTGCCCCAAGCCCTGCACTTTGGGG